AGCACAATTGATGGGCCAGTGAAGAATTTGCTACTTTAAAATAGCAAGGATACAAGCTTTTGCTGATTCCAAGAAGTCTACACCTTAGTGTACCTGCTGCTTTGCACATCCCAACAGTTATTCTGCCCAGGAATCCCTAATTCCTGGACGAGCTGTGTCATCAGCCACAGTCTGTGACTTTCTGGGGCAATAACACCAATACAGTGCTGTTCCGTCAGCATCAGATTTGTTCTGGCATCAGATTTTCATCAGCAACGACTTCGGCAAACTTGCTGATGAATTTCCTACTGCTTCATGATCAAATGCTTTATCATCACAAATCTGACAGATCTACTCTTTCAATTCATGATCAAGGTCTTCAATTAGCTTTATACAGTACCTCTTCTCGTTCTCATTAACTTCTGCTTATCCTATTCAGCACAGAACTTCAACAGTCGACTCTTCCATTTCAAGTCATACATGTCATTCCAACACCATGCTCTGCTGCGAAACTTCACACGTCCTCGCTGTCCAGTTTCTCCAACAGCCTGACCTTCTGTTGTATGAACAAACATAAATGCTTTCTCTTATGGCCATTACCCACAGAGGTATCTGCAGGCCTTTTTGACATTTTCAACCGCATCTTTATTCCACGGGAGCAAAACATTAAGCAAAAAAACAGTAACGCACTCAGGTCCTGGCCCCATATGGGACATAGCGGGGAACCTGTTGCTGGCACACTTGACCTGCACACTGGCTCTTTTATTACCCTTCCTAGGAATACACAGAAAAGATCAACCTGTAATTTTTACCTTATAAATCTTGTACCTGTTCTGGTAGATTTATACCTAGGTATTTTGTTCTTTTAGAATTCATTGCAAATGATGTGCTTTCAATTGTGTTTTCCACATATTCCTTTTACTACACAGAGATGAAACTGGATTTTTTAATGTCAATATTGTGCCCTGCAATGTTGCTGAACTCACTCATCAGTTCTGGAGTTTTCTGGTACATTCCTTGGGATTTTCTATGTAGAGGATCATCATTGCCAACCTCTTTTAATTGGTCTATTTAGACTATTTAAATTTAACGTAATTATTGATTTATTACACAACAGTCAGCGACCCTATGATCTTTTTATTTAATTTCCTTTTTTTTAAATTATTTTTTCTTTTTGCATTGTCACAGGAGAATTCTTCATGTTGTGACATGGTCACAACACGATCCTTCTTCCTCCATTTCTTCTTTCTATAAGGATTTTGGGCATGTACAGATATGTGCCTGGTGTGTTTTCAAACCACTGGAGCCAGGATTTGATTTGATGGTCAGCTATGGGGGATCTGGTTTCTGTAACCACTGTACGACATGCTCATCCCCAAGTTTCACATCTTGCATTTTTATATTGTATTTTTTTCTTGACTGTTTTGTATTGCTTTTTTCTTTTTCAGTTCTATAATTCTATTTGGTTTATTTTTGTACCTTTTATTTCTTTGCACAGATTTTGTTTTCATTTAAGAGTTCTCTATCTCTCTCTCTCTTTTTCAAGAGGTTTTTGCCTTAGGATGCATGTGCTTGCTGGAGAAAGAGCTAGTGAGAGGGAAAGTGAGAAATCACCCGGGGGATGTGGTCACACCACAGTCCCTTCTCCTCCATTCTTCTTCTGAGATCAGGACACATTACCAGTGTGATTATCAAGCCACTGAGTCTGGGACCCAAACTGCAGTTGGCCATGTGGGAACCAGCAATGTAACCACTACACCATCTGCTGGTCCCAAGAGTTTTTTTTTTTTTAAAGAGAGAGATTTTTGCTTTAGGGCTTGTGCACTTGCAGGAGAGACAGAGAGAAAGAAAGCGAGAAATCCCTTTTCCTACAATCTCCAATTGGGACTTTGGGCATGCACATACATGCACCCGGTGTGAGTTTTAAGCCACCGGGTCTGGGACTCAAACCACGGTCAACATGGGAATGCAGTGACACAACCATTACGCCATCTGCTGGTCCCATCCAAGAGTTATTAACTGTTTGCTTTGACTGAAATGCTTCTATGATTGTTGCTTTAAAATCCTTGTCAGATAATTCCTACATCTGACTCGTCTTGGTGTCATCTGACTGTTTTTCTCACACAAGTTGTTACTGTGCTGGATCTTGTATAAGTGTTTTTGGTTATAATCTGGATATTTTGGGTACTGTGTTATGAGACACTGAATCCTACTTAATCTCTTTAGCAGAAAGATCCCCTTTTTGTTTCAGTGTGTAAGTCTGGGTAGGGTTAGAAGTGCAACTCCCTACTGGGCCTCACTGACATCATCTCAGCAAAAGCAGAGAGTCAACTTGTACACCTTATTGGTGCCAGAAGGGAAAGGTTGATAAGCTTTTTGCTTGGCTTTACTAACGCTGGTGTTTGGTAGGCATGAACGGAACACTGATTAGCACTGCCTGATAACACCTTGTCTTTCCTTGTTATTGCAAAAAAGATTGGAAATTCAGCTCCACACTGGCTTTGCTAATACCACCCTGGGAAAAGTGCAATACTTTACACCCTTTTTTTTTGTTTTTGTTTTTGAGAGTTTTTTGCTATAGGGAGCATGCGCTCGCCAGAAAGACAGAGAAAGACAGACAGACAGAAAGTGAGAAATCACCTCCCAGGGGGGATGGCTAGGCTGCAATCCCTTCTCCTCCATTCTCCTCTCGGGATCTTGGGCACACATGCACATGTGCCCGGTGTGAGTTTAAGCCACCAGGTCCAGGACTTGAACCAAGGTTGACTACATGGGAGTCCAGTGACATAGCCATTACGCCAACTGCTAGGCCCCCAACCCTTTCCAACACCTCATGGGTGAGGGTGAAGTTCTGCTTCCTGTTCCACCCTTGTTGATACCACTTGGGGGGGGGGAGTGGAAGGAGCATTGTCTTGGTACTCCCACATGGGGATACAAGTCCACCTCCCCACTTCAGCCTCACTGACACTGTAGGGAGGAACAGGGCAGTTTTTCTATCAGTTTCTCTGTAGTAGGGGTAGTTGTAAAAAATGGTTTGCATTCTGTTAGGTTGCCTCTTTCTCAGTCGTTTGGTCAGAGAGAATTTTTTTTGGGGACTGTGACTGTTGGTGGCTCTCCAATGCCCTGAACAGGGTATGTGGGAGACAAAAAGAAAACCCAGGGAACTCATGGCTGTGCCTTCCCTCAGGTTCTGAGGTCCTCAGTTTGCCGCCTTCTTTCTCTTCAGAGTCTTCCTGTTGTTGCTTGTGTTATTTCCAGGTTTTTGTTGTTGTTGTTGTTGTTGTTGAAAAAGGAAGGAATGGGTGAATGGCTGTCTGTAGGGAACTGGAGATCTCGGTGCAGACTTTTAAGGTCGGAAGCTGATTAACTGACTATGGAACTGAAAGAAGGAGGATTCTTCTTTCTACTTCTGTTCTAAGTACGTCAATGTTCATCAGTACTGCTATAAGAAAACGCTGCAACACGTGTCTACATCACGTCTGAGCTACTATTTCCTAGTAACAGCCCTGACATGGCTGTACCAGAATTGCCTAGAAGTGTATTAAACACGCACATTCCTGTGTCCAACCCCGAGATGTGCTAATGCAGAACAGGGCTGAGGTACACATATTTCTCCTAAATTTTCTAGGTGATTCTGATGTACACCCAGGTTTGGGAACCACTGCTTCAGACTAGCTAGTATTTCATATATCACCACCTTGTGCTAGGCACTTGTAATATCATACACTGTTTAGAGAGTCACTATATTTCATTTCTGTGCCTAGAAATCACCACCCTTACTATCAGACTGGTCTTACTCATCTCCATATCCTAGGTAGCCAGCACAGGACCTAAAACTAAAAAATATTTGTGAATGAATTAAAGAAAAGAAGCATAATACATACTTTTTGATTGAAGAGTAATAGAGTTAGAGTATATATGTAACACATTTAAAAAATATTTGTTTAATTTTATTTATTATTTTTTAATATTTACTATTATCTTTTTTTAAAAAAAATTTAATATAAGGCACATGCATTCACCAGAGAGATAAGAGAGAGAGAGACAGAGAAGAGAGAGAGAGGAAAGAGAGAAAGCAAGCCACCAGGTCTGGGACTCGAACCATGGTCAACCATGTGGGAATTCACACCATCTGCTGGTCCCTATTATTATTATTTTACATTTTGCTATAGGACACATGGGTTCACCAGCAGAGAGAGAAAGGGAAAGTGAGAAAGTAAGCCACCAGGCCTGGGACTCCAACTGAGGTTCATCAAGCTATCCGATATGTAACAAATTTAATGAAAAAGATCAAGAGTAAAACTTTAGAAACTTTATAGCAGGTTGCCAGAGTTCTACTGACTCTAATTTAAAAAACTGGGGCCTGGGTTTTTTTTCTTTTCTTCCAGATATTCGTCGTTGTCATTTATTTATTTATTTAAGTTTTTGCCATAGGGCACATACACTTGATGGAGAGAAACAGAGAGATGGAAAGTGAGGTCATCCCCAGGAGGATAGCCACATGGCAATCTCCCTCCTCCATTCTCCTCTCAGAATCTTGGGCATGCACGCATAGGTGCCTGGCATGATTTTCAAACTTGAACCACAGTAAGTCACGTGGGAGTCCAGCAGCTTAACCACCATGCCACCTGTCTGCTCCAAGGTATTGTTTTTAACTGTGGCAAAGTACTCATAATATAAAACTGACCCTTTGAGCATGTTTAAGTGTACTAGTCAGTAGCACTAAGTACACTCACATTGTTCTGTAACCATCACCACCATCCATCTCCAGAACTCTTCTCATCTTGCAAAACTGAACCTCTGTGCCCCCTAAGTAGTAACTCCCTATCTCTCCTCTCCCACTCCCTGGCAACCACTCCTAGCTTGTATTTATATGTCTTCTTAAATTTCATTTTCCAGTAATTCATCTTCATTTTGTTTTTATAAATGTTTACTCTGCAATGGATTAGAAATGAACACAAACGGATGATTCTTCACCACAGATAGTGTGAGCTCTGTGTTAGACCATTTAAACCACTTACTGGTGGCCCTGTCTGCAGTGCGTAAGTATTGCCTCGAATCACCCTTCGGTCGTACATTATATTTCCATAAGGCATAGGTTCTTCATCCCTGTAAAAGAGCAAATTCTAAGTAACTAACAGAGCATTGGTATTTATGAAGTAAATTTCATTTTCACTTTCTTTCTTTTTTTTTTTTTTTTTTTTTGGAGAGATTTTTGCTATAGGGCGTGTGCGTTCACCAGAAAGACAGACAGAGACAGAGAGACAGAAAGCGAGAAATCATCCCCCAGGGGGGATGGCCATGCCGCAATCCCTTCTCCTCCATTCTCTCAGGATCTTGGGCATGCATGCACACATGTCCGGCGTGAGTTTAAGCAGCCGGGTCCGGGATGTGAACCGTGGTCAACTACATGGGAGTCCAGCGACATAGCCATTACTCTAACTGCTGGTCCCTCATTTTCGTTTTCAGCAGCATTTGTTTTGGTGTCTTTCATAATACACGTCTATGCCTTAACCATAACCATCTGCTAGCCCCCAAATCAAAAATTTTCCTCATTATTACTTTAATTACCACCAGGAGACTTAAACTAAGTTAAGCATTATGTTTGGATTACTCCACTCTGAAGAAAACCTGACTTTAACATATAGAACAGGTTGAGAGAGAAATGTTGTTTTAGACAGTTGAGTGATTTTTTTCAGTAGTTCAGGTAAAAAATAGTGCCGGCAGTAAGCAGTCAATGGAAGCCGGACAGATTGTGGGGTGGGGGTGGAATCAATAGGCCTTGCTAGGTGTAGGGGGTGAGGAAGAGGAGAGAACAAGGTTTCTGGATGCCAACTGTATGGTTAGTGGTACTGAATGAAATGGGAAGCACTGAAGAAGAGAGTTGGACTGGGTGAGAGAGAATTAATTCAACACTGAAGTCACCTTCCAGACATCCTAATGAAACGGGTTATTAGATATGCCTAGAGTTGAGAATTCTGAACTAAAAATAAAATTGGGAGTTTGGAGTAGATGGATCATAATTGAAGCCTTGAAAATGGGTGAGGTCAATTCAAGACAGAGAAGACTGGGGAATCTCTGAGGAAGTCCTCCAGGATGGAAGGAGCTACAGACAAACACCTAGAGAAGCAGCAGAACAATCAGGGATATGGTGAAATCAGAGGCCTGGAAAAGAGGGCTGCAGCAAAGAAGTGACCAGCTGAGCTGAACACTGCAGAGGTCAAGTAAGGTGAGCAGTGACCTGTCAGGATGGTCAACAGCGGCTTCAGTATATGATAAATAAGCACTTCATATTCCACTCAGGCATTTCCAGTAGAGAACCATGACCTACAGGTGAATTGAATGGGAATAAAATTGAGTTCCGAGAGGTAAGGAAAGAGAAATACCACGAAACTGGTACAAAGATGTCAAACACAGTGAGTTGTCCAAAGAAATACATAAAAGATGTATTATATTGTCTTGTTTGAGGACGAGATAACTGGTATTCGAATGTTCTCTTTCAGTTTTGAGATTTATGACTATGAAAAGTTAGAAGTCCTCAACTCATATTAGACTGCATTGTATATCTAGGTCCCTCCAAACGGAAAATCAGGTATTTTCATTTCTGTATTGGTGTAACTGATTTTTCATATGGAACTATAGAACCTATGGCTGTCCAATCAAATTTCATCTTTTGGTTTTAGCCCAATTACGGACCTAGTCAAGACCAGTCAGAACTTTGACTCTCTCTATTGTCGCTAAGTTATCTATTCTAGCCATGTGTCATCTGAGATTTAACCAGGTATACATAAAATTTTCAACAAGATAGGCCCAAGGACCTCAGAGGATAAAGAAAGACTGACATAGCGCATACTCTCTTTGGATATGGTCATCTGGGCCTCACTTGGCAAACCATAAGTTTAGCTGTAAGTAAAAAAGTGTCCTCTCCTGGACACTTTTTCCATATTTCATCCACAGGATATCAGGGGAGGTGGTCTCAATTACTTTCCTGAAACTGAGATTTTACTGGATCTTCTGCATTACCTTGACCTATTAATCAACAAATTACTTTCAATACTAGTCAACTACTTCTATAAAAAAAAAAAAATAAGTTCCTTGAGACCAGCAGATAGCAAATGGCTATGTCACTGGACTCCCATGTATTCCACCTTGGTTCGAGTCCTGGATCTGGTGGCTTAAACTCACGCCAGGCACGTGTGTGTGCGTGCCCAAGATCCCAAGAGGAGGACGGAGGAGAAGAGATTGCGGCATGGCTATCCCCCTGGGGGGTGATTTTTTCGCTTTCTGTCTCTGTCTCTCTCTCTCTGGTGAGCGCAGGCACCCTATAGCAAAAACCCCTCAAAAATAAAAAGACAGACAGTGAGAGACAAAGTGAAAAATCAATCCTGAAGGGAAATGGCAATCCCTTCTCCTCCATTCTCCTCTCAGGATTTTGGGCATGCACCCAACATGCCTGGTTTGATTTTCAAGCTGCAGAGTCTGGGAATTGAACTGTGGCTGGCCATGTGGGATCCAGTCACCTTAACATCCATGCCTCTTGCTGGCCCATCTACTTTGTTATTTTTTTAAGTTATACATACCACTTATGAACAAAAAATATCAGAAAAGTCTTTCTGAATTTAGACTTGGTGTTTGAAATTCGTATCAGGAGTTATGCTGCAGATATTTAATCACCACGTCAAAAGATCGTAGTGAGTGTTCTTACAATGCACCAGGTACAGTCTTAGGTGAACAAAAGTGCAAAGTTTCCTGCTTCCATGGAGCATGCATTCTCCATGAAGTTCTGCTGACTCCACAACTGGATGCTTACAGAAAGAACCTTAGGAAAACCACAGTTTCTGAATAAGGATGTCTGAATACTTGCAAATGTTCATCAATGTGAAAACACAACTTGAGGTCCAGCATGGAGGGATAACCTAATTCCTGCCCAAAAGCTAGTGTGATAAGAGCTTTAGGGGCTTACACTTTGGATAAGTCATTGTGTTCGACACCACTACACCAATATCCTCACTCGCATAATGGAGTTAAAAAAGCAGCCTCACAGCACGGTGGATTAAGGGGGAAAACGCACGTGAACGCCCCAGCAAAGTCCAGGCACATAGGATGCAACTCCGCATCACTGACAGCAAACTACAGTACAGGGGCCACTCCACAGGAGCAGTCTATGGGGCAGAAACTTGACTCCAGAGGCGTGCTGACCAGGGAAAGCGGTACCGGCAGCTTTCGCCAGGCAGAGGGGCCTGGATCCGGAATGCACGGGGAGGCCACAGAGGTCCCGTCTGTCACTCACCGCTGCATCAGGTAGTCGCGGTAACGGCGGCGCTGGCAGGGCAGGGCCCGGGGCCGGCTGGTGTAGGTGTAGGTGCCGGTGCTCATGGCCCGAGCCGCACCTGGAGGCCATGTCGGGGGACGGCCCGCCTCGCTTTCGGTGGAGCTTGGCTTTGGTGCAAGTGGGCGCTAAGGTGTCGAGGGAGCCGGAGAGGGGTAAATAGTGCCACGGACAGCGATTCCGCGACGCGAGGACAGGCTGCGGGCAGCACGGGAAGCTGCCGGCGCTGGGGCCGGGAGCTACACTCGGCTCGCTGCAGGGCGCGCAAAGCCCGCCAGCCGCGCACGCTCTGGTTGCCAGGCAACGCGAGGTTCCGCCTTGGAGCGGCGCCCCCCGGCAGTTCCGGCGGACAGGTTTCCCCGGAAGGCCGACAGCGCGGGGCACTTCCGGCACTTGACTCGGGTCCCCCACGCCCGCTCCGGCGTCGCGGGGCC